ATCGTATCGAAAATTCTATTCCATCAAAATTATCTTTTCTTGAACGATTAAAGCATCTAATTAGTACATAATTATAGAATGGGAAGAATTTTACCTAGAAACAGTCCTGTAGGTTGGAGCCAAATTTGTATAATCCTCTTCATAGTTTAACAATTTAAGCTTATCATTTAGCTCATCACTAAGGACATACAGTTCATATTGTTGAGCAGGACTTCGATCATTTCCATCTTGTTCATTCTCCTTTTCCTCTCCATCTTCTTTTCCTTCCATTTATGACAAAAAAAAAAAAAAAAATTGAAGTCTTTGAAAAGAATTTATGCAAATACATGCATACTATTTGGTGTGCGTGATGTTTGATTAGCAGAATTGATTGATTAATACATATAAAGTTTGATAAAACTTCGTAATATGAATTCCTAAACTAAGAAAACAGACGATAAGTAAAAAGTGATTGCAGAGCAAATAAGAAGATAAGTAAGGAAATGATTAAATAAGTACTACCATGAGGAAGACCGGGTGCTAATCAAAAGTTGCTACAACAATTGGTGCCTCCATAGCAACCGGTGGCAACAGAAATATCCTGAACCTCACTTCAAGAATGGTTATGGATCAATGTGTCGCGATATGATCCAATTATTTCGATTTAATGCAAGTGTCTCTATCTAATGCATAAATGCGGAAAAACTACATGACTTAAAAACAATTATCCGCTTCACATATAGTAAAATTTAATCCGTGGATTTTCAAAAGTTTTATAAACAATCAAGTATTTTCACTCCTTCTCACTCTTGTTCATTTCTTCTCTCGGATCAGGAATTCTCTGGGGCAAAAGAGTAGCACTTTATCACCGTTTTCACAAATTTTAGCAGATATGGTTTGTTTTGCTTGCGATTTGTCTGAAATACCGATTTGTTTGATTTGTTTTGCTAGATATGATTTTTTGATTAGTCTTTCAAGTCTCCTGCTTAGAATTCCACAAATGAAAATTTCATCTTTTCAGTAATTCTGTTATGTAAAATATCCACTCAAGGCTTAAAAATGTTAGCATCTAATTTTTAGGCTACTGCAAAACATATATTATTAGAAGTTCAGTTTAAAAACTGGCATATTTTAAAGAAGCGTAGAAAATCGTTAGTTTAAGACGAAAAATTTAAATAGGAGTTTCCATCTCTTCCTGAAATCTTTTTCGATTTATTCCCAATACGTACAAAGTTACTGACATGATATAGAACAAAGTATTCTGTAATCATATGTAAGATCGACGTCTAACTAATTCAGATAGAGGTGTAAGGCTTCAATAATCAAACAAAATCGCATTTACAGCCATGACAAAATCTTTTATGAAATTCTGAGACAAATGGATGAACAAATTTATGCTTCGTACCGGAAGATCATCTTCGCAGAAACACTCTATTCAGGAAATCCTAGTGCAAAAATTTCGCTATCTAGATAATTTTTATTTCACCACAAGATCGTTGATAGTTTTCGCTTTAGCTTCTAAACGGAAGGATTTGTCTCCACTGTAGTATGTACTTCCATTGACATCATAGAAACCTTTCCTGGTAAAAACTGGTTGTCAACTAACTTATTGAGCAATTTATTGCTAGTAATTTATAATATTCTAATTTAATTGACTGCTAATAATGCTGTCAGCATCTGCAGAATGGTAAAACTTTTGTCGTTGAAGCCGCATATGATAGAACATTTTTAAAACACAGAGATTTCAGTTCAACAAAAAATTTTGCGATAGGAATAAGGCGGAACGACAATTCGTTTTAAACTACTAAAATAACTTGCAACCAATGACTTAAAACTATCTCCACTTGTAAACGTTAAAGCATTCGTGTTACCAAATCATCTGACTACGGTATATATTCATAGAGAATTCAAAGGAAATTTTATTTCAATAAACAAACTGGTAAAGCTGTACAGGGATTTTCATACAGCAATAAAAATAACTTACAATATTACCCGCAAAGTATGTCATGAAATGAAATTACCACTCTTTCCACGAAAGCGGTGGTAATTTCGCCGACTTAACCATCCTATTTTCAAGGAGCTTTTTTCCAGAGGTCTTGGAGAATTGTTATTCATATCATAATAACTATAACCTAACGTTTAAGGATGGAAATCAAAAAGTAACCATTTTAGTAAGCAACAATTAAGCTCCTTCGTGATTTCAGTAACTGCTTACAATCAAAGCTCTTTCACCACCATTTAAATAATGCATTATATCTATAACAGAGTAATTTAGAGAAAATGAAAAATATCGCTGGATAATAAATATGGAACACTAACAGTAACAGGTCCTTATTCAAGAGAACTGCTAAACTGTACCATTTGAGAGGAACAACTATTCTGAAGGCCAAGCTCCTGTTGGGTCCTCTTTCTTTTTAAGCGCTATATCCAATACGAATTTTTATGAATATCCTGTCCTCCGATGACGTATTAATTGCTTGATCTCCGCTTCATATATCAAATCTGAGATCTGTTTTTTGAGAGTAAGTGCCGAAAGTGGTGATGTTAAGCAAAGTCGACGTAATGCGCTTGATACACTTCGACCTAAAATTTTTTTGGAGCAAATTTTCAGCATAAATTCAGAAATTTTAGGGATTTTAATAGATACTAAAATTACACGTAAATGAAAAATTGGTAAAATGTGCAATGCTAGTGAACAGCCTTTTGCCATAGAAAAAACTAGTCCTTACAACGGAGATCTGCCATAATACACAACGATTTGGTAAAACTTACCAAACCAGGCACATTCATCGTCTGGTTCCTGCATATTTTGCAGGTCCTCGTTACTTGCTTCAGATGCCTTCCTTTTCATTGCCTTTTTCTGAAGATCAGCTAGAGCACTTGCACAAGCACGTGTTTCTGGGTTAACCGGTGAAGGTGATTTCAGTTTATTCGAGTCAAATCCAAGATGCTGTGACAATGCTGAATGAGATGCTATACCCTGGAATACTGAATAATTTAGTGCTCCATGTTTTCAGACAATAAAAATAATGCCAACATATGCAAAAATGTTGGCGACATGATTTATCAACAGACAACCTAATTTGTTTCAGAAAACTGTCCATTCTTTTTAAACTGGCTACATTAAACATGAAATCTTAATTTTGGGGCAAAAAGAGACAATCCTAATTTGGAAATTAAGAACCCTTTTACTTCGTATTATTGTACAATGATAATAGTCAATGATGAGTAGAAGGGATCAAATTCGTTCAGAAATGTGAAAAAAATTTTAATTTAAAAGGAAAAAAGGCTATAATACGATATACCTCCAAATAATTGATGTTAGGTGGGACAAACTGAGCTATATGCATTTCAATTGTAGGTGCTGCGGTCGATGTGACTTGAATATCAGGTATAACAGTGTTTGTATTGGTGGGAATGCTTTTGTTACAACTATTGTTGCTGCTGCTGCTGCTGTTTGCAGAAGGAATGGGAAGGGAAGTTGATGCAACTGCTGGGAGCTCTGTTACATTCAGTATCTGTCCACTGTAAAAGCAAATTGTCAGATGACAAGTGATGAATATTTTAAAATTGTCCACAAAATTCTGCATAATTTCATTCTAAAAATTGAATCAACAAAATTACACAGAAAAAAGAATTCCTCAAGAATGCTTTGTCAAATTAACTACTGTAGGAAAAATAGCATATAATATGCTGCCATACTAACTTTTCACTCAAGAAATTTCAAGGTAAAAATTGATGGAGCAATTTTTTTTCGATGGCACATTTAACTCTAATACAAACAGTAATGTCATACTCTATGCTGCTGTTGCTGTCATCAGACATTTGTTTCTCGACAAGCGAATTGATCAATTTCTCCAGCGTATTAGGTGTGTTTTCTACCAAAACTGTGCTGCAGTACGAATTTAATTTTTTCAAAATTTTTGCAATCCAATAAATTGCTGAATATTGCTGGTTTTTTCTTTCGCTCCTTTCTTTAAAATCCATTTGCTTTTAAAATTTCCGATAGATTCTGTTCCTGAAAAGGGTAGCTTGGTAAGCATAAAACTGAATTACCTGTTCAATGCAGAAGACCGATTTCGATCTGGACCAAAATTATTTTTAACGAATTGCATTTTATTCCAGAATCGCCAAGTTGGTTCCACGTCTTCATAGCCTGCACTTGCTTCGGCCTGGCGTCTTTTAAGTTTCCTTTTGAATGTATCTTTCAAATTCTTCCATTGTGTACGAACATCTTCTTCTAAAAAAAGACAATTCGGAAAAAGAAATTAATGAAAATGAAGGGATTGCTCAATTTGTAGTAGGAAACAATTGTAATAATCCACACTTCCAGCACATGACAACTCAAGTTAGCATTAAATTGGAACTATCACAGTCAGCAATGCAATCATTCTCGACATTCACGCAAACGTAAGCATAAAATGTTTGAGAAAGGTTCGAATCTATCAATAATCAAAGAAGTCTTCAGGGCATGATGATAACTGCAAATAAAAAAAAAAGTGAGAAGAACCTGTATATAGACCGGCTGTTACTAAACCGGAAGCATTAAGTGCATCTGCAACTTCTGCAAACAACTCTTTCTTCCTTTCCGACGTCGCATAACGCTCCTATAACTCAATATGTTCCATCAAATAGCATGAGAAAAGTGTTGTTCATTACTGACGATTGCGAATGTTAGAAGAAATTTTTTGAAAAGTGCAGATAAAATTATGATATGGGAAAATTTTTTTTTTGAGCATTCAATAAATTTTATAGATTTGTAATGAGCAGTGCGAATACCACAGAATATTCATTACAACCAACAGCAGTGTTAAGGCAATCATATCGAGAATAAAACAGTAGACGTAATAAAACAGTAGATGTAACGCATTTTTAAATACAGTAATCTTTGGAAAACACTATGTTTCTGCGGCCGAAATGAGTAAGGAAGAGAAATTTTAGTAAACTGAATGAAATGATTCAATTAGAGTATATTCAGGGATAGAAGTAAGCCTGTATTTACTTTACTATTTAACAGTCTCATTCTTCCAATCGACATGATGCTGTTGCTGTTAACTTCGTTAACTATTAATATTCATTGGAGTGTCGCAAATACAGTAATTAGTTACTATTAATATATAAAAATACCCCCATTATTAATCTAAGCCAGTTTGAAATGTGAAGATGATTTAACTAACGGAGGAAAAAGGCTGAGAAAAGTTGGACCACGGGAAAGAAAATAATCAAAACAAACGAAAACATAAAAAGAACCGGTAAGCACACATACAAATTTTGTTTTTGTTTAATTTATCTCTTTTTTTAAATGGACAAAGTAACTCAAAAAGAATGATAAAGAATAAAATATTAGAATGTTGAACCTTTTTATACTCCCAAACTTCGCGACGCTTTCGCACTTCCTCAATTAAAATAAGGCGGGAATCGTCATTCCACATTTTCACCATTTCATCTAAAAACTAAGTCATAATTAATATCCGTAGTATATAACTCATAACGTTTAAACTTGAATATATTTAAATACTTCTCAACTCCTGCTGTTCAACGCAACATTTAAATCTCCCAGTAAGATTGGATCGTTATCAGTCTGCAGCAGAATCTTCATAAAAAGTAAGTACGAAGAAGCTGCCACAGATCATTTCTTGTAGAAAGCATCCGAAAATGAGGGCATGAGAAGGGCCAAGCAATGAAGGCAGAGGGGCCAAGTAATCCACGATGCAAAAGAATGGCAGAATCTTTAATAGTTAAAAGAAGGTGAGATATGAGATGAGGTGAGGTAAGATCTGTTTACCATTTATCCATTCGCACATTTGCCCAACAAATGCTTTCAAGAAACAGCAAACCAAGCGAAAATATAGAGTTCGAAAACGAAGGGGAGAAAGGGAGGGGAGACGAAAGCACAGGATGATGCTGCTACTATCATTGCCACAGCTGTTGCTGCGTCAAGCGCCAGCGACTAGCGGTTGTTGCAGCGACGAATTTAATGAATCGATACAACGATAAATGCCCGCGACGCTGATGACGATGACACGACCTAATATGCTGAGGGGTGTAATCTGTACTGATATCAGCTGTCGTACGGTACACCCAACTTACCGCTGCGTATCTGTCTCGATGCAACTACATTCTGCTCCCCTACGAGATCAGACTTTACGGACTGATCACAATTTTTGATTAAGTCACCTCATAATCTGCCCTCGGTTTTTTAAAGCATGCAGCTGGCAAAGGATTTAAAACGAATTTAGACTTTTATTGGTATAAATTTGAATTCCTTTTTTCTCTTTAACGCCATGGAATAGATGTATGCAATATCAGTTATATGGAAATCGGAGCTACCTAAACTAATAATATCAACCAGAAATCAGTTGCGGAATGATAACGGGAAGATGTAGAGGTGTTTTACTGAATCAGAAATTCGGAGCACGAAAGATTTCGGAATCAACTCACGAAATTATTCCTTGAAACAAACCAGGTACCAATGAAACTCTCTATCAATCAAATTTGCTTTTTGACATGATACTTCCAGGAGATCGGCTTCCATCAATCTTCCTACTGAATTCGGAAGGGAATTCAAGATGAAAAACGAAGACTTTAGTAAAACCTTCGTTGGGAGCATTACTTGTAGTTTAACATAAAACTTGCATCTTCATAAACATAAAGTTTAAAAATTCGGTATCTGAATAACTATGAATTCATCGGAAATAATTACGTCCAGATCTCGACAGCGAATATAAATTTAACAAATCAATTTCAGCTCAATTCATATAATAAAAATAAAGCGAACAGTTTGCGAATTCTTATTTCTAAAAACTCGTGTATGGAAAATATCACAAATTATTTAAATTAAAGAAGTCGTGAATTTGGGAAGACCTGCACCTTAAGCTATACAATATATCTGGACTTCGAATTAAGCATAATTCATGCATTTAATAATGTCCATACGCAATAGTAAGACTACAAAGCAAAAAAATATTAAAAGCATGGTCGAGAAAGGACCACATACGAAAGGACCACATACGCAAAATCAGATACAATGATTATAATTTAACTTCAGAACTATTACTGAGACTACAACTTTTGAAATTTTCTGATTTTGTAACTCAGAGAACGATAAGATCACATAAAGCACAAGATTTTCCACTGCAGGTTATAGTAAAAAACTGATTTTGCATTCGCATACTGAATCTGCAAAAATAAGCTATAACAAATTCTTTTTTGATTTTTTTGATCTGCAATCCCATACCATAGTACTCACAGTCAAATTTACCGCTAACGAAAGACCTTTTCCAAAAATGCGACCTTCATATATTTTCGAAAATGTCAGTAAGTTGCCGACGATACCTAATAACGATTTTTCTGTAATGTAGGTTGCCTGCGTATCAGTGTCCTTCCTGAGTTGCATAAATGTTCTCCATTCCGACTGAGGCGCAACAAATATAACAGCTCGACTCAACGACTCTGTTGTCTGAAACGTTGGGACACTTTGCAGTTAATTTCGGAATTTCCTCGTGTGTTTCAAAATTTTCTCTTGGAAAAAAACATTCAGTTCCTGATGGAATAAGCCTAACTTTTCCATGACAACATTTGATGAGATACGAAAGATGCTTTGCTTCAGGTTCGCATTTCGAAGAAACATAAAACGGCCCTAATGTAGAGAACAAATGAGCCATGCGACCATTCAGCCAAGCTTCGTGGGCAGTTTTCCATCGTGGAACAAAAAAATCATTTCCTTTTAACCAACCACCAATTTCCAATGAGCGGTAAGCCTAAAAAAAGAGCATGAAAAACTAAAAAATTTGGAACCCTCCAGCTTTTTCCTCAAGAATCAACGAGGTTTTTGCAATTAGAAAAAAGATCGATGAAAACAAGAATAAAGAACTGAATATAAAGAACCAAAATAAGAAACTGATTAAAGAAAAGGGGGAGATACGCTGTTATTATGTGCAGGTCCAGTAATAATTATAGACTTAGTTTTGAAACTCCACTGTAGTCAAGCCCTAAACTTGAACCAACAAACTGATAGTAAGTGGATTAACACTGATAAATTTACTACAATACTGTTCCTATAAACTAGTAAATTTAATACGAAACCTAGGAGTTTATCTAAAAGCTAATTTGCGACATTTTTTTGGCTCGCTCGTTGTTCCTACCAAATATCAAATTTTAAAAATGATACCCATTCAACTGTGACGATTGGTATGCCTTTGACTAAAGCTCGCATAACATTAACCGTGCGTACTCCCTCTTGATCACTTACCACGTAACGAGTAAGCTCGTCGACAGTGCTTGCAATTTTTAGCAAGCCCAATTTTTTAGTTATTGCAAAAACTGTCTCTTTCTCACTGCAATAAAAACCTGCATTTTAAGAAATAGTTATTTGGACATGAGAAACAAGATAGCAAAAAAAAAAAATTCAAAAAGTTTAAAAATCATGAACTTACATCTTACTGATTCCTGAAAGTATAATATTACCGGTTTTAATTCTTTTCCTAGGAAGCTTTTTCTTTTTCATGAATTCATTCGAACTGGGAACATTTTGCAACTCATTTAAGACTGAAGAACGAGTCCGTACCACCAGTGGTCGCGTTTTCGAGGTTTTTTCTAAATCTACAGTTTGAAAAAATAAATATCAGTCATTGAAAGAAAAAACTGTCCCTTTCTGTTTAAAAACTGTTTAGGCTATATTATAAGAAAATGTATAGGACATGAACTAAAAAATCAGCGAAAGGAACGCTTTTCAGAAACAATAAGTGACATATAACCTATTTCAATATGTTATTCTTAAATAATATTTAAGGACAAAAACTTGAACTGTACTATATGAAAATAAGAGTTAACCCTTTGCCGAAAGCTTTCGGTCATCTGCAGAAATTTCAGAAAAGTTCTGGTTCATCATTTTTCTATACATGGACACCATTTTCTCTGTATTTAGTTGTGCAGCATGTCCTGCTTTTACGGAACGATATCGTCTTTGCAAGAACTACAATGTAAATTATGTGAACTACTGGATATATCGAGAAATTTTTCCACCTTTTATTTGAAGTTATGTTAATAAAATGGAACCCCTCCTCATGGTACAAACATCTTTACATACTGGACTAAGAAATCCTTTTGCTGGATTATTTTTTACTAAGAGCGATGGCATGATAATATACATCAGAGGCAATCTGGGTGCACAGCGGAATGTAATTCATATTTCGCAATAAGTTGATTTCCCATCATGAGCTTTTGAAAAACTAAATTTTAGCACAGAATTTCTACAAGACTTGACTCAAGGTTTGGCGCAAAATACTCACTCTGTGAAAACGAGTTGGTGTATACTCTGCTAACTGTTCAGAATTAACTGTTGGCCGACCACGCTTTTTAACTGGCTCACTTTGTGTAATCTCCACCACATTTACCTGAATTAAGGATTTATTAATAATTAAATCTTGTAAAAATTGACTTTTGAGCAATAGGATAAGCAGGGAAAATAAACGCTAATAAAATTAAATTCAATTTAAACTAACAGATTTAGTCAAAGATGAATTCTCTGCAGGGGGAGTTGCAAACTGCTGCTCGGATTCTCCAGGAAACATCGATACTCGCGTATGCCTTCTTTGCTTTCTACTAACTCGACAGTAATCTTGAATGTAAAGAGAAATTTTAAGATACTTAGCCATCACAGTTCATGTTCCTGTTAGAATTTATGTATAAGCAAAGGCAGTGAGAATTTTCTTAAAAAGCACAGCTCATCCTAAGCCAAAATTTGCTAACAACAATCCTTCGAGAATCCTATATTTGAAAATGGCATCTGGCTCAAAATGGAGAATTTTCAACTTGATGCAATTTTCTTTCTTAATTTTTTATGGAACAACACTTCTGGTCAATTGGCCTATCTCGCTTTGCTTAAATTTCGTCAGGAAATAAGTGCATGGACTTATTTGCATGGACAGTGCATGGAAAACCTTTAGTCTACCACTGCTTAGTCATCCCCGTGATGTATATTTTAGTGGATACCCCATTCTCAGAATGTTTCAGTGATAAAGAAAAGATATCTTTCCCACCAACTACATTAGATGCATAGACTCTAAATGGTGTGTTCATTGACGAAGGACAATTTAAAACGTCTGAAACTATATTAACTATGGCTTTCAATTATTCTTAGTAAAAATTAGAGTGTTTTTAATTGCTATTGCTTCGCTTTTTCCCAATAGGATCATTCAGCTTCTTGATTCGATGTGTTACGACAAAATGAACATCAATACACTTACTCAGTTCATTGATCCTTTTTCGTACGCGATCCACAATTGGTGAAATTATTTCCACAACATCAATATTTTCATTATTTGCAGGAAATACTGCAACAATGTGTGTGGTAATTATTTTAAAAATAAAAAGTTCTATCCAAAGATCTGGGATTCTACAATTCAGTAGCTCAGAAGCCTTGCTTTTGCGGTTCCCACATATAGTATATCTTTATCCATAACTTTCCAAAGAAAGTGGTAGACTTTATTCTTCGTCTGTTCTATTTGGAAAGACTTTGATTTTTTCCACAAATTTAGACTTCATCTTATTATTCTTATCCGTCTGACTTTGAAAAGATTTTTTTTTATGACTGTTTAAAAAAAAATCCGGAAAAAACCAAATCTGTCTGACAATACCTATAAAAAATAGGTTCATGTAGAAGAGCTTGGCAAGCATTACTAAATTTCTTGTTTCTGTGTTCATTATTGCACAAATGGACCAGAGCAGGTAAAGTAAAATAAGAAAACTGATGAAAACAGCAACTGAACCTTACAGCTATGTTCTTTTTCATGATATTGAATAACATTAAGGGTTCCCCAATTACTTTAACTAAAAATAAGCGCACAAACGAATGTTGGAAGGAATGTTTTTTATGCAGTACGTCTGGGCCAACATTTCAAGGTCAAAGATATCAGAAAGTTTTATCAATGCATATTATATATTAATGTCAAGCCTGAAAAAAGATGGCGCCTATGGAATGTGTCACAATAACGTTTGAAACATACCAAATTTGGAAGCAAGCTGGTCGGAGAGCGTTTCGATCGCATGCACTATTTGTGACTGGTTCGGTGAACTGCCACTTGAATTTAATGCTTTATCCTGACAATTTTGAAGAACGCTTTAGTGGTATTAAGACACGCGCATATTTGAACCATCTTGAAAACCGGTTACAACAAATACAAAGATTAAAATCTTACTAGCAATTTTTGATATCGGAACTAAAATTACAAATATAACTTCAGTTTTTATTCAAAGTTGATCGATTTTCAAAATAGTCCGCTACGAATACGCAATCGATTCAGCATTAGAACTTCCTTTATAAATTCATAACCATAAGTTATATTAGAGTGCTAAATTAACTATTTCTGATCATCAATCACCATATTAACTGTTCCCATTCGTCCCATAGCCATTAGTCGCATGGGAATAGCAAGATCCTTTATACCGTATAGCAGAAAGGGAGCTTCGTCAGCTCGAATTTGATTCATGAAACAACTGCAATAAATAAAAGGTAATGGGAATAAAACCTACAGCTATTCGGTACAAAAAATAAAGGAGGAAAATATAATAAAACAATTTATGAACTGCGCTGTATAAATTCTTATACAGGAAAAAACCAAGACATTGTGCAAGTATAGAAAAATATGAAGTGAGCAAAAAAAAGCAGATGACGATTATTCTAGAAAAATAAAAGGAATTTAAAATATACTGCAAAAATTGTCTTGACGCAATAACTTACTTAAATACCCAGTGAGGCGAAAGTATTAAAATTTCGATCCCCAAATGATGGGCTTTATCTAGTGTTTCCTGTCGACCATTCCAGAATATTAAGTGAGTAATATTTTTTGAAAATCTGGAAAGGAATAACAAAAGCAGTAAAGAAGCAGCTAAATAAAGCTGCCGGAATCTTATGTTGTCTCGTCTATGGCTAATCTTGTACATTGAAACAGCAAAAGCACAGTTTCTTAAAAACTAATCCAAAGAGCATTACGTTACGCATCATGGTAATGAAATGCTGTTATCACTGAGGATATTTTATCCTAATAATGAAAGTACCATACCGTAAGTTAACAGTCGCTCCTAAGTCACGTAACATTTGGCGCAGAATTGATGTTTTTTCCAGTCTTACATCTACAAATGCTCTGACACCTAAAATACTGAATTAATTAACTAATCAGCTAATTTATCTACCTTCCTTACAGTAAAAGTTGTGAGGGGAAACTCCAGGGTGTTAATCAATCTGATAATCAAATTGGGGAGTCAATTTGTAAATCCAAAACAGGAAAAGTTTAAGTAAATGACAAAAAATACATACCTCCCAAAATCATCGATTTTTTAGTACTTTCTATATGGTTATCCTGAAGAGGGCATGAGAATTCAAAAGCATTGAGTTGGGCTTCCATCCATAAATTATGCTCCGCAGAATCCGTGATTTCGGATGATAAAAAGCTTCAAAGGATTTCTGTTAATCTCATTGATATTTGGACTGCTTCAATCAATATATTTGTTTGCTCAATAGACTAAAAAAAATTAGTAATACTATGCAACTTTATACTCTAATGAACGAATGTTTTGGTAATAATAGTTATTTCTATTCGGGTAAATGAAACGAACAAACCGTGATGAATTTGAAATGCTTTCAAAAAATTTAGGCGTTTCAATATAAAACGAAAAAGGACTGCCTTTCGCAGATAATCTTTTCGTCATTTTTCGAGATATCACTTGGCTATACCTGAAATTTTCCGGAATTTCATTTGGATATCTTTTAGACTTACACTGGCTTTTTCCGGAGTCCTATACATTTTTTGAAATTGTCCAAATTTTCAAACAATACCGTGGCATAAAATAGTTTTATGAGATACCGTCAATAACATATATTTTAAACACTGCA